GGCCTCTGGGGATCTCAGTGGGAGCTCTAGAAATGTTGTAGGGTATCCACCAAAGAAGATTGCTCAGGCGTGGGTTTAAGCCAATAGAAACTATTTACTAGTTAGCCAGCAGCTACACTGGGTGTTTGGAATTCCAGTGTAGCACTAAGCCTTTCTCCTCATGAGATTTTAAGCACAAAAAACATATTCTAGGTTGACATAAATTTAGTTAGCAAGAACAGTTAGCCAGAAGCAGAACTACAGAAGCCAGAAAGCAAGGTTAGTGCATTTAGAGACTTTCTCAGAACTATGTACCTTGATAGATTAGGTCTTTGTTTTCATTTTGACAAGTGGTACTGTCTACATGTTGAAATTTATGATATGACCTGAATGATACTTCCATCATGGAGTCAGTTGTGCTAAGGTGTTGGGGCCTACTAAGGAATGAGGCTCTGTTACAATAATATACACACACCTCTGACCCACTCCTCTTATGGGGTAGCATATGTTGTCCATGTAGCCAGAAAATAGAATGAAGTAAGAAATAAACCTGTTATTCCAGCTACAGGAAAACAAGTCAGACAATGTGGCATAAATAAGTATATGTTAGGCAGCACACAGAAAATACTGATTTTAAATGCAAGGTTATATACAAGTACCTATTGGCCTATTGTACTCTGTTAACATACAAATATTATTTGTCAATTAAAAATACAGCTTAGAAAAATATACAAGTTTTGCTAGATACCATGCCAATAGAACAATATCTAAAAAAGATAGAGACAAGAGTCTTTTCAAAACTGACATAAGAAGGTACATGTTTAACTTCTCTGAAAAACTGATGTTTTGCTTGTTTGTCCCATTTATCCATTTTATTTGCCTGAATTTGTCTTGCCCCTCACTCCCAGCACTCAGGAGGATGAAGCAGGAGAACCAGAGTTCAAAGTTATCCTTGGCTATAGAGAAGGACAATTTTAAAGACATGTAAACACGTAAACATCCCCTAGCCCAACAAACACTTTTTGAATGCCTACTGTGTTGGGCCATTTTCTGGCTAGTATGATGTTAGGATTAAAGGGGCCATTATGCTTCAAATGACAAGGTTGGGAATGCTAGAGTGGAAAATGGAGAGGTCTGCACATGAGAAAGCCAAGCTGACCAGGTGATGTGAAGGACAGGACTCCAGGAGAAAAGAAACAATGTCAGTCTTGGTCTTGGCAGCCCCTGGCTGGCACCCGCTAGGCCTCCCTGAAGAACGTGTGCAGGCACTATTTCTCTTTCATGGATTGTTCTACTTCCTCTAACGCAACTGCCAAAATTATGGGTAAGGACAGTTCTTAACATTTACTCTAGAAAGGGAGGATGGCCACAGACCACACACAGAAAAGGGGATAGATGGGGGTAACAAACGAAACTAACCATTGCATTGTGGGAGCTGTGTCTCCTGACAGACACCTTTTTGAGGTTAAATATCCTTGACATTGCAGTTGGGTTGTTCCCAGTTTAGCAGAAAGTAGGGCATGTGGACATCTGCTCACACATTCATTAACAACGGATAATGGGGTATTCTTGGTTGTCAACCTGACTACATCTAATCTAGATCTTTGAGGTGGGAAGACACACCTTTAATCCAGATCTATTGGGCAGGGAAAATACACCTTTAATCTTTGTGGCAAGAAGACACACTTTTAATCTATATCTAATCTGGGCCACACCTTCTTCTGGAAGCCTATATAAAGGCATAAAAGGAAACTTGCTCTCACCTTGCTAGCAAGTCCATTCACTAACATAAGCTCATCAGTTCTCAACCTCTGGGTTATGACCTTAGGGGTTGAATGACCCTTTCATAGGGATCATCCAAGACCATCAGAAAATACAGATATTTACATTAAAAACTTATAACAGGAGGAAAATGACAGTTATAAACTAGCAATGGAAATAACTTTATGGTTGGGGGGTCCCCACAACATGAAGACCTATATCAAAGGGTCACAGCATTAAGAAGGTTGAGATCCACTACATTAGAGTCGACTTCTTCAGGATTTCAGAGTATACTGGAGACCAGCTGAAACTGAGTAGCTACTGGATTCTAGGACTTTCCATTCACAGCCAGCCTTTGCTGGATTAGCGGGACACAGCCTGCAAGACATTCTAGTAAATCTTTCTATGTATAAAGAGATTCATTTTATAAGCTGTTACTCTAGAGAACCCTGACTAATAAATACACAAAGTGTCTGCATCCTCATTATAGGATTCATGAAGTCATTATAAATATTGCTTACCTTGTGGCTTTTATATCCCTCTCCTTTTGTGTAGACCATGGCAGAAAACACTCTAAAAGGAAGATCTAGTCCACCATGATTTGTGACAGAAAAAGTCATCTTACCTAATGAGCATGTCACCCATGTCATAAGAAGTCCTTAAAACTTCTTTAAAACCCACAGTGAAGACCAATATGCTTGCTTCCTTGGAACTCCAATTCTTTGTTTGTTTGGTTGGTTTTTGTTTTTGTTTTTTTGAGACAGGGTTTCTCTGTGCAGCCCTGGCTGTCCTAGAACTCATTGTGTAGACCAGGCTGGCCTCGAACTCAGAAATCTGCCTGCCTCTGCCTCCCAAGTGCTGGGATTAAAGGCGTGCGCCACCACCACCCTGCGGAACTCCAATTCTTGAGAGCGCTCTGCGCAGCTTCTCCAACTAAACTGCTGCTTTGCTGGATAAACTTTCACTTAAACTCTGTCTCTTGACTGAATTCATACCTGAGAGACCCACACCACTGCCACAGTATAGCAAAATGAGATATGATGTTAGTTCATGTTTTTCTACACAGCTTTAATCCAGATCTCTGGAGCAAGGAGACTCCAGATCCACAGCAGATCCACAGCACCTTGACGGTCTATGGAACTGTGTGGCCTACTATTGCCAGGACCCCTTGTCTGCCGATTGGGAGCTCCAAAGAAGACTGTTTAAATGTCCACAGAGAGCCCAGGTTGTTCCTCTCCTAAGCTCTCATACCTTAAAAGAGTATTTCTTCATAAATACAGTTTTAAAACAACAAAATGTCTGCTGCCCATAGTTCTACTGTTTGGGGTTTATTTACAAATGAGGTTTAAGTGGATACCTGGTCTCGCCTCTATATGTGAGCACCCAAAGAATAGACACAAGGAGAAATGGGAACTTCAGAGGAAGAATGTCCTGCTGTAGCTATGTGCTCTGCCAGCCACTGAAAAGCAAGAATGAGCAATGACCATCTTGTAACTGAGCAGGGATCTGCTCAAGCCCTGGAAACCACAACCACAATTAACTCTTGACTCAGAAATTCTCTGAAGCTTAGAGTTACTTGTCTATTTCTCTTGATAAGCAGGTGAGTCTGGAACACACACCCATCTGACCATCAGCCTTGGGCAACCTTCATCACACGATAGAGCTTGGCACTACTTTTTTGATGTCTATCCTTCTGTGTTTCTCTTGCTTATTCAGAAGTGTGAAAAAAGACTAGGGGAATTCATTATTCAGATACCTAGAAAGGCTTGAAGAACATAGCATTATGTTAGGGACCCATGTCCAGCTCTGCTGGATGATCTCATCCTACTGAGCACCTGGATGAAAACATCGGTTTGAGCCAAGCATCGGTTGTGTAAATAATGCTTTACATTTAAGGAGTTATCATAATTATATATTTAGTTCACATTTTTTTGCTTATTTTTGTCTTAATTGCTGGTGTTATTACTGGGAAGTGAAACTGATATGCTAACAAAAATTAGGAATAGCAATTCCACCTTCTGATTGCAGTTGGATTTATTTTTAAAATGATTGATAGTTAGCCTTACCATTTCTGGTTTATTTGTTTTTGTTTATGTGCATGTTTCTGCTTCCCTGAAAGTGCATCATGTGTGTGTAATACATAAAGAGGCCAGAAGAGGGCGTTTGATCCAAGGGAACTGGAGTCACATGCAGTTGTGAGCTACTCAACATGGGTGCTGGTGATCAAACCTGGGTCCTTTGCACTATTAACAGCTGAGCCATGTCTCCAGCTCCTAATTTTACTTTCAAAAGCAAGGAGAATTCAGAATTCTTTTAGATATTTTTCTTGGAAAGATCTTATTTCTTATTGAAGCTTCTTACCCTTAGTCTTGTAAGGATATCATAAACAAGGTCTTTAATTCCATAATGCTGGAAGCTGAGACAGGCAGATTTGAGATACTTTCTCAAACAAGACACAAAAACCACTGGAGTGGGAAGTAGCTCAGTGACAAGGCATTCACACAAAATAGAAGATATAATATAATATATAATGAAAGAAAGAAACAGTGATTAAAGGATCTTCTTTATCAGATAAAAGATTTAATTTTAAGACTCATGATAAATATGGTGGTAAGATACTGAATTTTTTTCCTTTAAAATTGAGAACAGTCCTCAGGGCCACAAAAATTATTAAAGTTCAGAATACTAAGGGTGCTCACCACAGTCCCTCCTGTTTGGGATTCTACTGAGAGTCCAAGAGAATGTAATGAGGGAGGAAAAAGAAATATAATGTATAAGGATTCAAAAGAAAAATGAAACGTTGGCAGAAGATATAAATGAGATTATAAAACGTCAAAAAGAGCCTCCAAACAAATTTCTCAACATATATACAGAAAGTTTACTACATATAAAGTCAGCATGGTAGAAAGAACTCTCTTAAACTTCTAACAGAAAATGAAATTTCAATGGATATTATTTCAAATAGTGTCAAACACATTGAACATCACCCAGATGCAATGGGACATGTCTACAGTCCCAGCTACTCAAGTGTCTGAGGCCAGTGCTCCAGGCCAGAAGCTGGAGCTCAACCAGGGCAACAACCAGACAACGCGCACTATAGAACATGTGAACAGTTGTGAAGCAGACAAGTATAAACTGTAAACATTAAGACACATGAACCATATGTTTATAAAACATATAAACTGTAAAATACATAAAACTGTGAAATACTATTCCAACTCCTGAGCCTTAGGAACTGGAGGTTTAAAAAGAGCTCCCGGGTGTTTGGCTCAGCAGCACACACACTAAAATTGAACTGATACAGAGATTAGCAGGCCCTGTGCACGGATGACATACAAATTCATAAAACGTTCCACATTTTATTTTAAGGGAAAAAAAAAAGCTCATGAACAGAAGGCTCTATATGTTGAAGAGGTCAATTCCCTGTAGTTAACCTGTGGGTTTGTGCAATTTCAGTGTAAAAAAAATTCATAGCAGGTTCTAGCATGTTCACGCCTTCATGTATCATCATAATTAAGAAGCTGGTTCTGAAGTTTAACTGAAAATATAAAATAGCAGCGAATAAGTCTCAGAAAAGAACAAAAACGACAACGATTTACTCCACTAGATAACTTGGCATGGAGGCAATACAGAGTTAGAGCAAACACAACACATGAACTGGTGCGAAACAGAGACTGGAAGCATCCACACACAAATCACATATAGAGATGTCTTTCACGAGGATGGTAGCCCCACAAAGAGACGGGAGAAAGACTTACCTTTTAGTTTGTTTCAGTGCTGGAGACTGAACCCAAGGCCTTGTATAGTGGACCTCTTGCTACAGCCAACACACACACACACACACACACACACACACACACAGAGAGATGTGCATACACACAGCATTCCAAGAGGATTTAGAAGCAAATTGGAGAAGATTGGTGTTGTTTTAAATGGTAATTTAGAAAAGAAAACATATTCATGGCCTTAAGAAATGGAAATAAATAAGATATAAATTGATTAATAAAAGATTGACTGGGTCAACTATATTAGAAGTTGTGTTTATCAAAGGCATTTAGTAAAGTCAAAGTAGATGCCACAAACTAAGAGATGAAATTTAATGTGTGTGTGTGTGCGTGTGTAGGAGTGTGTATGTGTGTGTGTGTAAAACTGATGAAACAAGTAAGGAAAAAATGATCTCAATTCTAACGCTCAAAAACTTTGAATAAATATTTTACTACAAGGATATGTAAATGGTCTATAAATATTAAAAATAGAATAATCAGTAATCAGGGAAATCATAATTAAAACCACAATGAGAGAAAACCACACGCTCATCTAAAGGGCAGAAGTGAGAAAGAAGGAAAGACAGCCCACACAGGGTTAGTGTGGATATAGAGTAGCCATTGGTGGTAAGGGAAGGAAAATCAGCACAATTACAACGTAAATGCTGGAATTATTTTCTAAAACTAAATGCACATGTATCCTCTTATCCAGAAAATGTTGCTTTAGGCACACGGCCAGTGGGAATTATATGCACATGTTCTAAAAAAAGGCAAAAGAATGTTTGTAACTGTATTTTTTGTAACTGTCACCGTCTAAAACAACTCAGATGCTATCCACACAGAATAAATAAATTTTAATCTATTTACACAACGGAAAAGTGTAAAGGAATGGAAAATGTTACACAAACCCCACAGACAGCTTTCATTAGTACAGTGCTCAGCAAAGAGAGCCACACCCTCCCTGCCCCCAAGCAAAATAAATATTACTCTTTTATTAATTTTAAAGCAGACAAAACTAGCTTATGGTTTTAGAAGTTCCTAATAAGTGGGGTTTCTGGGGTATAGGCAGTGTTTGGTGCTTCTTATAAGTAGTTCTTATATGGGTGCAATTATTTGTGAGTAGTCAGGGAGCTGGATATTTATGGTACATTTTTCTGTATGCATACTGTTCTTTGTTTTGTTTTGTTTTGTTTTGTTTTGTTTTGTTTTGTTTTGTTTTTTGAGACAGAGTTTCTCTGTGTAGCCCTGGCTGTTCTGGAACTCACTCTGTAGACCAGGCTGACCTCGAACTCAGAAATCCGCCTGCTTCTGCCTCCCAAGTGCTGGGATTAAAGGTGTGCGCCACCACTGCCTGGCCGCATACTATTCTTATATGTCAAAAATGATGAAAAGTTAGACTGAAGAGATGGCTCAGTGGTTAAGAGCGCTGGCTGCAATTCCAGAGGCCCCCGGTTCAGTTCCCAGCACCCACATGGCAGCTCACAGTCACCAGTAACTCCCGCTGCAGGGATCTCTTTTGCTCTCCAGTAGCAGCTTGAATGTGGTTCACTGATATATCTGCAGGCAAAAATAAATAAATAAATAAAAACATAAATAATTAAAAATGTAAACAATCAAGTGTTCCAAGGTATACCTTTGTTTCTGAACTCGGTGATTCTGAAGCTGCATGGAGTTTTCCTACAAATTATGTGGTAATTTTAGATACATATAGATACAAATAGATACATATTGAAATACTCCTTTTAAAATTAATATACTTTATTTTTAGAACTCTTTTAGGCTTACAGGTGAATTGAATAGGAAAATATTCTCATATGTGCCTTCATCTCTATCACAAACATACAAGCACATGCCTCCCTGGCCTCTAGCATCATTACTGGGATATAATTTGTTACAAGGGCTGAGGGATACTGAGACATTATTACTCATTACAGGCCACAGTTGACACTGGGATTTACTCAAGTTTGTTGATTATGTTTAAATGCCCAATAAATATAAAATTAGAAAAATCTCATTGTAGTTTGATAGTTTTAATTAAAGCCACAATGAGACACTACCATATTCCTACCAAACAGGCAAAAATGGGAAAGATCAGCCATACCAGTATTAGTGTGGCCAGTATAGAACAGACTGCGACTTTTATCCTGCTAGTGGGAGTGTGAGTTGGAACCACTACCATGGGACCCAGTCTTGTTGCATTCTATGGCTCTTAGCAGGAGTATAATGATAGGTATCCATCACTGGAGTCGGACAAGTTGTTCTAAGTTGATCTTGGTTCCTCAGCTTTGTCCAGTTTCTATAGTGGTTATTCACTTCCGTCACTGATTGGGGTTTTGTTGTTTTTACTTTTTATTGGTTCTTATGGATTTCACATTGTGCACCCCAATCCCCTTACAATCTCCCCAACCCCCAAACAGAGAGAAAAATCTCATTGTGGAAGCCACAGTGTGTCACAGTGTGTTCCACAATACACCCTCTTGTTCACACTTCTTTGCTTGCAGATGTTTCTTTCAATGACTTGTTGGTCTGGTACGAGGCCTCTGGCTTCTGCTACTCTATCAATACAGGAGCCTCACTGGGATTCCTCTCAGATATCCTGTTGTTGCCCTGTGTCATAGAGATCCTTTAGTTTGGGGGTCTGTAGGACAAAGTCCTTCATGAATTCCAGCATTTCATGGATGGGGTAGATGTTAGGGTGAGTCAATTCAAATCCCTGGATCTGTGCCTGAGCAGTATCTGAGCTGGTCAGCCCACTGGCTCTCTCGCTCTTGTGTCTTCAAGGCTGGCTCACCAGCAATCCCTGCAACCAGGACCAGTTCTACCCTGCTGCCCAGGCGAGGTGCAGGGCTCGCTCTTCCAAGTGCCGAAGCTGGTGAGGGACATGGCCAATTCCCCCACTCTTATGAACCTGGGGCCAGCTCTCCTGCCTGCCATAGGTGACAAGGGGTAAGAGGGGGAGGCATCTCTCCCTAGCCCATGTCACCACATGACAAACAAATGGCAAGGCCAGCTCTCCCCTGCTTGCACCCCTGGGACCAGCTCATCCAAACCTCTGCCACCAGGGTCAGCTCCACTGTGCTGCTCAGGCAAGGTGCAGGGCCCACTCTCCTGAGTGCTGCAGTTGGTGAGGGGCAGGGCCGACTCTCCTACTCTCCTGATCCCAGGGCCAGGTCTGCAGGTGGTGAGGAGAGAGGGGGGAGGGGAGAACCCTCGTCCAAGCCACCACATGTGGGACAAGAAGTAGAGACAGGTCTCCCATTGCTGCAGGACCAGGGACCCAGATGTGGCCCCTGGTGGCAGCACAGGACATGGTCCCAGGTGGCATCACCAGCTACTCACACCAGGCTGTTCCTCACTACCCTTGAGTCTCCAGTTCAGTCTCTCTTCACGGTGCCCACATCCTTCTGCTTCTCATTCTCTTCCATTTCTCCACCACTTACTTGCTCCTCTTAGTGCTGCCCAAAGTCCTGAGTGTCTGGAGGTTGTCTCAGGGGTGGTCTCAGGAGTACTGTGTCCTACCCATGCATTACTGCTCTGGGCAGAGGTCAAATCAGGCATGACCTGCCCCCCATCCCCAGTCCTGAACTTTACTGGACGGTCACCCAAACCACACAAGTGGCCTCATGCAAGGGTTGTCTATCTCAGGCTCACTCCCACCTATCTTAGGCTCACTCCCACCTATCTCAGGCTCATTCCCACCTATCTCAGGCTCACTCCCACCTATCTCAGGCTCATTCACACCTATCTCAGGCTCATTTCCACCTATCTCAGGATCACTTCCATCTATCTCAGGCCCACTCCCACCTATCTCAGGCTCACTCCTGCCTGGGCCCTAGGGGGTCCCAATTGGGGTTCTTCTAGTCCCTGGCTTGCTCCCAATTCTGGAAGCCCACCCTGTCCTGCCTGGTGCTGACCACCAGGTCATCTCAGGCTCACTATTAATCATTCAGATGTTCATGGGTCAGAACTTTGAGTGTAGACATAGCCTCTCTCCTCTCTGCCATGTACTGAGGTACATATGACACTGCAGCCACCTGTAACCCTTCTAGGGGTAGGGGCATTACTGGTTGTTGGTTTTATCATCTCTATTGCCATAGCTAAGTGTTTCCTGGAGATGCTGTGACTTTCTTATGCCGTTAGTTAATGGTATAAAGGAAATAGCAGGTATGTAAGAAACTTAGGGCCAAGTAGTTGGGATGATAGTTTCCAGGTCTAACATTTCAGAGCTAACTTCCACTTGTCTTTGCTGGTTGGAAAGATGTGCTAATGCTCTCAGGAATGTTTGAGGGAACACTGTCATGGGTCACGCTGACCAATCTCCCACATTCAGGCTTATGTGAATCGTGTGTTGGTTCTGAATCAGCACATGCTCAGGACAAGGATGCGCCAGCTCCTGTTCCTGGCTCAGTCATCTCACGAGGCTCGACACACTTTTCTCTGTGAGCCCTGACTACAGAACCTCCACAGAGAGGGTTGATCTCTGGCTCCTTCCACTGCATTCCTGAAGATGACATCTCAGAGATGACTAACATGCTGACAGGAAAGGTAGACAGCTGCTCTTTCCTGCCCAAAAGGAACAGGTCAGGATGGCTTCTGGTAAATGTTCAAGACTACAGGGGAAGTTCTAAGACTACATTTTGGCCCTTAAGAGTGAACTTCGGTGGACATGTTCCCCCTAAGCACTGACGAGAGAGTAACTAGCTCACTTTTTAGTTATTGAACGTAACAACTTTGGGCCCCATCCTTACTACAAGGGGAAAAGAACAGTCCAAAGCTGTTACGAGTTTACCAATATTTTAAACTGAACATATGAAAGTTACATAGCCTCCTGGTGGTTGCCCAGTTCACAATGTCGGAAAGCCGTCACAACAGCTTTGAGCTGCTTTTGATAATGTTGTTGACTTTATATTACATCAAAGCATTGGGAAGGGCTAGATTCATGCTAGGTTTGGTGAAGTTTCTTTATCAAAATATTATTGAAACAATAAAATTGTGAGGGAGATTACTTAGAACACGAAGAAAATAAAATCTTTGAACAGTCCAACGTCCATTTTCATGTCTGTACTGACAGTGATAAGGACTCTCTCCGATGTTCTTCCAAGATCTTCAACTAAGCCATGAGCATAAAAGCTGAATTTCGTTATGGCAAAATGGACACGAATGCTTCACACACGTTAACTCTGTTTTTTCCAGCTCTTCCTCCTGAAGCTCAGAGAAGTCTCTCTCTTCTGTATTATTCATCGATGTTCTTATTAGAGATTCCATCCATCGGATGACAAGCTTTATTTTATCATAGAAAATATATAGAATGACCCTTCTTTTCTCAAAATATAGTTATCCAACAGTTTGTCATAACCTGCAGGTTTAAGAGAAGAGGAAACCCCCACTCTGACCGAGTCAGATCTACTCTCTTTCCGAAGGGCCCTTGGTTTGATACATTTAGGTCCTGAGAGCTACATAAATAAAGGATGGGAGCAGAATGCTCATCTGTGGATTTACAGAATTTTTATGCTGTTGGGACACTATCTAAAAAGGAGTCCTACTGGACATAGTGATGAATATCTTTAATCCCAGCAGTCAGGAGGCAGAAGCAGGCAGATCTCTGTGATTTTGACTCTAGACTGGGCTACATAATGAGACCTGAGGTCTAAAAAAAATCCTAAGTAAAATAATAATAATTAGAAGTAAAATAAGCCATGTGTTCATTCCATGTGCTGAATGCTGTGTGCAATTTGTTTTTATCCAGAATGGATATATTGCCAGGTGTGGTAGCACATGCGTGTAATCCCAGTCCTTAGAAGGCAGGGGCAAAGGGTTGGTGAGTTCAAAGCCAGCCTGGGATACCTAGAAAGAAATGGCTTATATTGAATCAAATACCTAGAATGAATGAATTAATAAAGGAAAACCTGATAAATACCTTGTTCGTACATGAAAATGGTTCTTGACAATGAACTTCAGGGTTGTTTTTTTTTTTCTGGGACAATTCTCTGGGACAATTCTAGGACAAAACTCATAATGATTTTTCTACTGTGTAAATATATCATTTCTACAAATACTCCTACAGTTTTATATGGAAAAAATGGAAAAAAAGAGGAGGCAGAAGGAGGAAGAGGGGTGCCTTCATCCCTTCAGTTGTAAAAAAAATGAAAGGAAGGAAGGAAGGAAGAGGGAAAGAAAGAAAGAAAGAAAGAAAGAAAGAAAGAAAGAAAGAAAGAAAATCCAGCAGTCCCAGAAAGCTAGTGAGTAGATCAATACAAAGCAAGTGAGTAGAGCTGTCTTAGGAACAGTGCTTGCTTGTACTGGCTTACAAACCAGAGATGTTCTCTAAGCCTCATTAACAAACAAGTACTTAAACTTACTTCTCTGAAAAAAGGTTCTGTCCATAGTTCTAAGCACCCCCTCAAAACTACCAGATATCGGTACGGCTTTTCCAATTCCCTTACGGTGATGGACCAGTTTTCCTGTAGGCTAGAACAGACTTCCCACAAAGAAAATCAAGGAGTGCCAGTGTCTTGCCTTTACCTGAAAATGTCTCGAGGTTACAGTTCTGACCTGTCATCATCCAAAGAGATTAGCGCATCAAACTTTAAATGAGTTGGCAACAGAGCGCCTAAAGAAAACATAACAATTGGTTACATGGTTGTAAAAACTCCAGGACCCAAAAAGCAAGCAGGAGCATGTTTCTTTACCTTCCTATGGCAAAACAGGGGCTGGTCCCCGTGGGAAAGCCAGGTCTCCACTTCTGATCATGATCTGAAGCCGGAGGCTGGGGCAGGGTGTAGCTCAGTGGTACTGCATCTGCCCGATTTGTACGAGGCCCTGGGTTCCACCCCTAGAGTCAAGGAAAGAACTTGACAGGTTAGAAACAAGAGCCTGGTCACACTTTCCGCTCGTAACAACTGTTACACAAACTCACACTCCATAGTGGAAATTAACTCAGCTCCTGATGTCTGTCTGCAGGAACCATGGCCTCAAGCCCCTTGTCCCATCACAACACTTAAAATCTAACCTACTGGATGAAGTTGAAGAAAAATACCAGAAAGGAAGTAAAGGAGATGAACACATATCCTAAGTCTTCTTTAGGAAGGTTCTTGAATTTACCCTACCCCTTCAAATTTGGGGGACTCCAACCTAAAATGCCCTTCATTCTCTCAAAGTCAATTCCCTCCCCTCATTTCTGCCTTCCCCAGCCCCACCCCAGCTTGATTTTGTGGCTTTTATGCGGCCCTGGCTGTGCTGGAACTGGCTCTGTAGACCAGGTTGGCCTCAAACACCTGCCTCTGCTTCCCTAGCACCATTACCACCCGGTTAATGTTACTGTCTCTCTCCACACTCTTCCTAATGTTACTCTCTCTCTCCACACTCTTCCTAATGTTACTGTCTCTCCACACTCTTCCTAATGTTACTCTCTCTCTCCACACTCTTCCTAATGTTACTCTCTCTCTCCACACTCTTCCTAATGTTACTGTCTCTCTCCATTTTCTTCCTAATGTTACTCTCTCTCTCCACACTCTTCCTAATGTTACTCTCTCTCCACACTCTTCCTAATGTTACTGTCTCTCTCCATTTTCTTCCTAATGTTACTCTCTCTCTCCACACTCTTCCTAATGTTACTCTCTCTCCACACTCTTCCTAATGTTACTCTCTCTCCACACTCTTC